TGGGCCAAACACAGTTGATAACTTGAGGGGCAAAGTCAAAGCAAAGATTGGTATGGAATAGAAGAATATTGAGAAATACAAGAAGAGACAGAATGGAAGTCAAGGAGAACAAAATTCAGCATAGTTGAGGTTATCGAGGGCAGTGGAAACAGAAGTTGGATTCTGTATCCAAAGGGAGGAAATTAATCAGAAGGGTTTGATGCAGTTGAAATACAGAAGGAAAGAGCAAGTAGAAGGTTGTTTTTTCAGAAAGCCTTGTTTGGGCATTCTGTGACATCATCCTTCTGCTGTCTGTGAACAGTATAGGATTCAGTGGGGAAGTATTCAGTGAGCTGCCACTGAATACATTTATAGCCATGCCTTCTACAAAATAAGGTACCAAAATTATGAGAAAGACATACCATCTAAATGGGCAATTAATAGTATCTTGAAAGAACATTAAATATTTCGCAAATGTATTGTGTTACCACACCATTCCGATTCAACATTATTAAATATTTTCTCCACATTTTCCTTTCCTTTTTTTAGTTTGTCTTTTCTGCCAGTGTCTCATTACTGTATAGGTTCACTGAATGTGCTTGTTTAGAAAACTTAAGAATATACCTGTTTTCACATAAAATCTCCATTACATAAATATATGAGTGAAGTAAAATTCAGTTTTACTCCCAACCAGCATTTTTAAGACAACTTTTCCTGCCTACCAAGATGATCTGAGAGGTATATGTTAGACAAATATTTTTTTGCCTTTATAATCACAAAGCTTGTCATCACCTGCATTATCCTGAAAGAAAAACTATTATGGATGTTATTCACAGTGAAAATAAACACATTCTAGACAGAGCTTTAACTGTTGTTATGGTGGAAGGGTGATCTTTCACTCAAAATTAAGAAGTTGTTATTCTGAGCTAACCCACGCGCTGCTGTTTGTAGTAAGAATAACCTGTCACGTAGAGCACTATGTCAGTAGATGTTGGCTTCCATCCAGTGAACTGCTGAGTGCCTCTGTTCTCATCTAAGCTAATTGCACTAGTGTTCATCTAGTGTCCAGCAGTGGACAGAATAGTACCTAATGCCGGGTCTTACCCTGCAGTCCTGATGCATACAACTAATCCTTACTCAGGTCAACGGGTCTACTCATGTGACTAGGATTGGAGGTGATGAGATTCCTAATTCTGTTAGCACATCTCAGCTGTAGCACCAACAAAATAGGAACAGGCAAAGACAATGCCAGGCAAACAAGCATAGAAAAGATGAGTGAAAAGCAAAGGACTGGTGCCTCTTCTGGTGTGGTAAGCCTTAGAGGAGAATGCATAAATTAACATACAGAAAAGCAGTAGAGACAACAAAACTATTTGCAACATAAAGGTTCTTTCCAATGTTTACCTGAAAATTACTTTAAGATATCAATAATTTAACACACTATATGTATAATTAAAATCAATAATATATAAATACAGAAATTAGCATCTGAGAGATAGTAGTCTTAATCACAAATAAACAGTACAAACAATCATTCTAATTTTGATCTACTCAGTACCAATTACAGAAATAACTAAAAAAAAACCAAACCAAAACAAAACAAAAAACAGCTTCACCATCCTGTTCACCTAGGTCTTATGTCTCATCTTTGACAACACAGCAAAATCTGTAATCCTACCACTATGAGCAACTTTGACCCCATGGCTATCTCTACTGATGGTTTCACATCTGCATGCTTAGATTATTAAGCTTTAGAAAGTACTAGTTCATTTCCCACAATCCGGACATGCAGAGTACCAACACTATCTATCAGCAGTACTTTCAGATTGTCCCATGCCACTAAATGCTATTTGAACAGTAGCAGAACTAGTGACCATCTCAGGCCTAGATTGTATTCTGCAAAGGCGTATGATGTTTTGCCATGACAAAACCTGGCAAAAACATACGTTACAACTATGAGGAGAAACACAAATGAATATGATTTTTGTTTGAATCGATCCACAACACTTTGTCTCCTTAATATTCCAGCATTATTCTTGTAGTGTTTCTTCTTTCCTTTTTGGCATTTTTCAATGTTCTTTTCACTTCTCTACTCCTCCATCCACCTTGAACCATGCTACCCATATCCCCAAAGCCATTACAATGCAAATCCACTGCTGTCTGATTCCAGTCGTACCTATTATTCTTCCCTAAAAAAAGACCTTCAAGACTATATGTACTAGATATATTCCTGGCCCATAAGGTGCATTCAGCATTCTGTAAAATTCAGATTTTCTTTAAAGTAATTTGTAGTGCATAGAGCTGTACAATTAACTGTCAAATGTAAAGAGGGACTAGAATAAAACAGGCAGCTGTTCTTGATCTGCAAATAATTTTTAACACCATTTTAGAAAAGAAGCTTAGCAATCACATTTCCTATATTGAGATTAACCATTTCATTACTGACCATAGGATAGGGAAAAAACCACAGAAGTTGAATTCCTGGGAAAGGCAAAAATATATATAACAAAGGAAAGTATCTTGGAAAGACAACCATGAAGTTGGGGAAAAGGAAGGGGAAGGGGAAAGGGAAGGGGAAGGGAAAGGGGAAGGGGAAGGAACTGAATGTGTAGTGACTTCCTTAGGTTGAATTGAGAGAATTCCTAGAAATAAAAATATTTTCTCAATTACAACTTAATGAAATATAACTGAAACCTCAAATATCACAATCAGATTATGGACCTTCGTTAGACTGTTGTTCCCATTGTCATAAATATATGTGCCAGTCGGCAAATCTCACATAGCATAAGACATCTCTAAATGTGAGTTTGATAGTCTTAACATACTTGCATCTGTAACTTTTTAAGACAATATTGATTTTTATCTGGAATTTACAGGCACTGCCTCATATCCAATACTACGGATAAATATCAGTCCCAGCTCTTGCCTCTGTGTCCTTTAAAGCCTTGTCTTTGGCTTTAAGGTCATTCTTCCCGCTGAGAGCAGAGCTCAGCTGGCAGGTTTGGCTGTCTGTCAAGCTCTGACTTAAAGACACCTGGAAAAAAACAGAGAGGTATAGTTTCATCCAGAAAATTGATGGTGTAAACATTCCAAAGTGTCTGCTGTGAAATAAATACAAAACTTTCTCAGTCTCTCTAGAGTGTCTTCCAAAAAGACAGGGGAGAATGCCTGCACTTTTGCAGCCAACTAATGGATGTATTTGTGCACTGGCATATTCAGCCACACACAAAATTAAAAAGTTTTCCGAAGTAGAAGTCAATGACTGTGTCTTGAAAGAAGAATTTTTTCCCAGTTGTTTGGCTAGCTATGTTTCACTGCATACAGTGACAGCTAACATGAGTCTTATAATGTCAATGCAATGATTTAAAAAGCTTTATCCTAATCCTCATTTTTATAACAAGATCCATAAATCCCCATTACACCAGATAAGTTCACAGCCTGAAAAATTAACTCAAGCTCTTTCCATAGTGATGTATTTGATGTACTGATGAACGATCATCTGAAGATGATTATGACTAATAACACTTGCAGTTACATACATACATACCTGTACTGATTTTCCAGACTATCCCAATGAAGTATTAGCAGTTCAAACACTTCTAATTTCAAACAATGTCAATTATCTATTCCAAGGTCATTTAGAATATGATAGAAAATATTTGGATTAAAAAAACAGAAACAAAACCTAACACATTGACTTGTTTTGGAAAGTTGACAATTTTCATTATATTTCAATACTGAAAAAAAAAAAAAAAAAGCCCCAACAAAAAGCAGTTGTAAATTTTGGTCTATTTCTCAAGGAAACATGAATCCCAGAAAATGCTACCGACTCTAATTGATTAAATAGCCTCTACATAGTAACCCTGTTGCATGGGATACAGATGTCTTCCATCACTATGGTGCCTTCTGTCAGTATTCAGCCCCATCGCACTATCAGAATGACAGAGGATTCTGGATTTTAGCTATTCTGCTCAGTTCAATATAAATTTAAGGTCTCACTTCCGCGATCAGCTGCAAGAAAACAACTGACTAACTAAACATGGATGCAAAGCTCAGCTCCTAGTTGAGGGTTTAGGGATTCTTCATTCGTTTCAAATTATTAAAGTACACATATAGTAGCATCCATAATGTTTCCTCTGGACTGAGCCTTGTTTGATACCACGTTTCTTAAGGCCTGTGAAATTCAGACAGGTAAATTTCCCACTGGCTTGTGGAGAAATGCAAATAAACTTTAATTTTTATTTTCTTGTTATTATGAAAATAATAATAATATTAAAAAATTAATTATTAGAGTTTTCCACTGCCATTTAATTTTGAGCAGAGTAGGTCTTCAAAACTAAGCCAACATTAACAGTTAGTCTTACATTTAACAAGTTTCTCTATGAGGTGAAAAAGTCATCTAAGACAATTTTCATCTTCCCACAAAAAAATATAAAGAACAACCCAAACTGTGAGATGCAGATTGGACTTGGTTTGCTCTGCAGGCAGCTCAGATATGCATTTAGTCCTAGCTGAGGCCCTTTATTCTCTTATTTTGAATCTTATTTTATCTCTGAATTTTTCTCAAGAGAAACAACAATTATTATTAAGTATTTCATTATATATACAAGTAAGATTGAATTTAAAAGGAATGCTTAAACCAAAATATTAATCCCTAAAAATCAGAATCAGATAAAATCATAGAGTAGAAAAGGTCAGCCACTGCCCAAACCTCCCACAGACTTCAAAGAGTATTGGTTCAGGCCCCACAGCTGAGATCATCAGACCTTGATTTTAAGCTATTTGGAAATCTTTGAAAATTTGGTCCCAAATAACCAAGAGAAGAAAATTGATGCATTAGTACCTGCTCTAGCACTTTTCTAATTTGCATTATAACCAGTCAGTTCTTACGCAGGAGAAAAGCCAAGTTAGAGGGCCTGAAAGAGTTAGAGAGCAAAATTATTCCAGAGAAACTTTATTATTATCCAATGTTTTCTCTCCCACACAGAAGAGCGGAACCCAGATGCCCTCAGTTCTTAGAAATGAGTAGAAAAAGAAGAAAAAGCTGCAAGGGCAGAAAGAGCTTTGATTCCAGAGAATGTAAGTTTACAGAAATGTTTAATTTGAAGTAAAAATGTCAGAATCATAGGTGGTTATTCTCCATTTACTCATCAAGACAGAAATCCATCTTTGTGCCCCAAGCTGTTTGTCAAATTGGAAATATTTACGCTCAAGTGTGGGTACATCCAGGTAATGTCTTGATGAGGCTCGTTGTTTTATTTCAGTTGAGCTGCTGTCCTAGCTATTTCTGGCAAAGTCTTTCCAAACATGTTGATGTTTAATTGCTTCAAATTTTCAGCATTCTTGCTGTAAATTTCTCAGTGTTGTCTGAGTTAAACAGCTTGTTCTAATCCTGCTTAGGTAGATGTCACTGTAAGCTGTTATCCTCTAATGCACATGAACTATTCTAAAAAAAGCCCAAGCGAGGCAGAATTTTATGTAATTGTATGAATGCCATGAAATCTTGCCTAGTACAGCTCCCGCCGAGAAACAGTATTTTCCTTTGCTTCAAATAGGGAGCTGTGGCTCACAGCTCCTGGCAATGTGTCACCGATCTGCTGTGTGATTGTGACAGTATTCATTAATCCCTTTGTTTGCTGATCTATAAAAGGATTATAAAAGTCAAGTTCCACGTAATTTGCCCCAAACTGCAAACATGCAATGGGATATTGATTGTCCCAGTGTGTTCACAGGAACGAAGTAAATACTGAGAGGAGTAATGGAAGTAAAAAGGGTAGATCTTTCTCTATGCAAATAGAATACCTTATTCCCTAACAACAAGAAAAAAACACTATAGATATATTAATTTTCTCCAATCAGAGCGAGTTAACATGGCCTACCCTGTTCATCTGACTTCACATTGCTTATCAGATAATTAAGACAAAAGAAGTTAATATTGAAATGAAAAAATAATGTTGTAGAAAATACACTACAACTTAAAGATAAAATAGGCATTTTCTTTGAAAAGTGTCTCAAAGCTAATCATACATTTGTGATACTGCTTACCAAATCATGGGAAAAAAAAATGTTTTTTTCTTTTTTTTACCTTAAATTAGATGAACAGTTGTCACCTATTTGTAAATGCCAGCAAAATGTAGGAAGCCTTGAAAATAAAGCAGATGAGGCTCTGGCTCACTTAGCTGAGCCACTGGATGTAAAGGGTACTGAAGAAGATGGAAAATATCATGAAAACAAGAATCAGAGTAGCTCAGATGCATCTGAAGATAGAGACCTTGATAACGTATCAGACAGCGAAAAAGAAGGAAAGAAGGAAAAGAACTACACTCCTCAAATGTTTTCTCCTCAGCAAGATGAAATCCTAGCTACAGTAACTTTTGGTGAATCAGAGGGCTCATCCACAGGAAAAATTACACTGTGGGGCAAGCCAGACTCTGCAGAATTCGTTAGTTTGGCTACTGGAAAAATTACTGCAGAAGTAAAATATGGTTCTTTTAATGTGAAAGTAGAAGTTAAGAATGTTTCTGTGCTTGATTCTGGAACAAACCTTGTAGTTGAAAAAAGGAAAAGTTCAAAGAACAATAAACGTTGTCATGAAAGACAATACCAGAAAAGCCAGTGTTCAAAGTGTTCGAAGTACCAGTGTCCTTCAACTGACCATTCAGCAGAACACAAAGGGAATTATAAGGGATCCTCTAAACATAAAATTCGAACTGCCATAAACAAAAATGCCTGCCTGAAAATGAACATTGAAGCAAAGGAAATTAAAGTGGAATATACCAGCAGAAAGAAAAATCTAAAGGTCAATATCAAACCTGGTGAAGAGGCACAGAGCAAAAACGGCAACAGGGAACATGAAGACACATATTGGAGCGAAACAGACTATTCTGTAACAGAGGCACCTTGCAATACAGATTGTGAGTCATCTTTTAGCTTTCATGAAAAAGTAGACTATACATTCCCAGATGGATGTACCCTTCTCCCTCCACCTAAAGAATTTGCTGACTGTGACAAAATGCATTTGGATACAATTGCAGAGGGGGTATCTTTGTCAGATTCCACAAAGGAATCTGACAGCCTCTCTACAGCTTTGAAAATTTGGGGGGAAAAAAATTATTTCTGTAAACGTAACAAAAAGGACTATGAAGACCACACCAATGAAAAGGAAGATTTTTCAAAAGATAAAATACTTTTCTCAAAAATAAATAATACAAATTGTCTTGTAGCTAGTAATACCTTGAATAACCCAAACACCGGGAAGGAGTGTATCAGTAGGAACAATGTATTAAGTCAAGAAAGAAAGAACTGTGAGAAATGCAGAGACATGGGGCAAAAACCAGCAAGACGAAAGTCTTTCCCAGATACTACCCTTGATGTACCCTTACCAGCTCGCCCTAGAAGGGATTCTGGCTTTTGTTCATTGCCATCCTTAAAAATGTTGCCTAAGGAGACCAAAATAGGAGATATCTGTAACAGGAACTCACATGTTCATACCAGCTATACAGAACTTTCTAACTGTTCTGACTTGACCTCCTCACTGAAAAGTTTGAGAGGTCTGAAGTCTTCATATCAGTATGCTTTCACATCATTTGATCATAATATTACCATTTATCCATCTGAGCCTGAAGAAAGTCTAGATGACACTTGTTTACTGAATGACTATGCAGACTATGGAGGGCAAGGCGAAGAAACAGAAGAAACATTGATGGAGAGTTTTCATTCCAGTGGTACTACAAATGAGAAAAAAGAAAATGGGCATGAGGAGCCTCTGAGAAACCTAGCCATATGGGAGGAAGACTCTGAGTCTACCGAAGATGCTTTAGATGAAGGGACACCAGAGTACAACCATCAAGAAAACCATGTTGAAGTGCAGAACAAAGGTCAGCTGGTACACGTCTTTCCACATTGTAGAAGTCCTTCAGGTGAATTTATTAATGACAAGGAAAGTACTAATTATGCATCTACAGAAAGCACCCCAAAACAACTCCCAGCTTTACAGCAAAATGTTCACCAACCCCCTGCAGAGCTTGAGGTAACAAAGAAAAGGAGAGGGTCAGTAATGACCGTGATAACTGGAGAACTAGAACGAAGACTCATCCAAGGTGACACTAAATTGATACCCGATTCTTTCAACTCTGCAGTAAGAAAAGAGCCTAAACTTCCCTGTAGTATACAAGAAGAATCCTTGCTGTCATCCTTGCTCTTAGATCCTGAGGAGCACGACATAAATAATGAATCAGAAAGCTTTTCTGAGATACCAGACATATCTGGGAATATCCTTGTTGAATCCGATTACCATAATGATTCAGCACAGGCTGCCATATTATCTACCTCATCAGCATATACAGAAAACAAAGAGAATTTCACAGAACATTCAAATGTCAAGGAAAGACCAGAGAACTTTTGCAGTAAACAGTCAACTGATGATAGCTTAAAGAGAGAGCCTGGAGTACATCAGCTACCTCAGTTAGCCAAATCCAACCCTGATGAAGTTGAGAAAAAGATTGAAATTTCAAAAGAAGATTTTCATCAGAATGCAGACCTCCCCCCATTATCAGTAAAACAGATTAGTCAGAAAGGTAGGTGTTGTAAGACTTTTGGAGTTAATATCACTTACCCATCTTTTGCATAGGTGCTTTAGTGCTTTGGTGACATCTTTTTGGGGAAAATGAAAGTATATTATAACTTTACAAAGAGATCATATTGGTATGCTTGGCTGTTTGGTTATAATATGCAGTTACTGTGTTGAGGATCCTAGGAGCCATCTTCTTGAGCCAAGTAACTTCAATAAAAATTTAAAAGCCAAGAAAATTTTAGTGCAGCTTTGCTCAAGAAGTGGGTTTCCTACATTAAAGCGTCAACACATCCTATACATCTAGTGAGAGAAGCAAACACCAAAACAGGAAGGGTTTTTTTGCAGTTGCCATGTGGCAGGAACTCAGAGCTCAAGTCAGTGTTTAAAATCATATAAATCTGGTTTTGTTATGTATGTGAGCTACAGAATTACTGAATTCCAAGTACATCTCAGTCCTAATTCTGGATGAGCCTTTCCATGTCATGCAATGACCATAGTGGATCATTTAACCTTCTATTCTCCTCTATTTATGTAGTTAAGAAAACTGCATATGAAAAATAATTGCTTTTAATAGCTAATCTTTTACAAAATTTCTTGTCTTCCCTTCTGTAATCCATCAACCCATACTCATAATTGGTCATTTAAAACGAGCATTTTGAATAATAAAAATGTAAGCCGTAATGGGACACTGCACTCTACAATGTAAACTTTTTACATTGTCAATATGTACGCACACACGCATGTGTGTTTTTGAAATATCACTCCAAACAATTTCATTTTAATTTTTTATTATTAATCAGGTTATGTGCAAACATAACTCATATCTTCCTTTCCAGGAGAGAATGTTTCCAACATGTTTGGAGGTTAGGAGTTTTATACTGTTGAAAAGTGCATCCTTTCTTATCAGGGGAAAAGTCTTCAAGAATCTTAGTAAAAAGCATCAAAAAGTTTTTAATCTCTCTAGTTCACAATGTCTGCAGAAAATAATGATATGTCCTCGAAGGTTGTCTTCTTTTGCACTGTTAGTAGACATTTCAAAATACCTGAAGTCTATATACACTACATAGATACACTATATTGGCAGATATTGCTATATAGATAGATATCTAAAATACTAAAATAAAGGGAATTAATTAAATGGAAATCATTTTAGAACAAGGTATAGAAAGAAGACACTGAAGGAAGCCTGCATGCTCAAAAACCTTGACTTCCCATACATTAGACCTCAGTGGTTAAACACACAGCACAGACATGAGATGTAGCTATTTCTTGCATTTTGATTTTATTCTCTCCTCTTCCCTTTTGCCCCTTGCTCGTAATTATCTATGTGTGTTCTTTCTCCTACCTATCACCTCACCTGGTCTGTAACTTTGGCTTTCCTTTGGTCTACGGTTGTATTTTGATTTTCTATTTGTGTTATTCTTAGCAATGCCATGGAGGTCCTACCTTAAATGAGTAAATGTGTACATCCAGAAAGAAGGATAAGTATTTCAGGTTTTAAAAGTCATTAATATGAATTGAAGTCCACTTGTAATATGGGAATACCATCCTACTTAGTCAAGACATGGGGCACAAGGGGCAGTGTGGGACTTCGTGTGCTTGGTAATTCAGTGAAACTGGAAAGGAAATGTGGCATTTTTCAACAAAGAGTGAGAGCCTATAGAACAGAGGAGAAAAACAGATATGAGTGTTATAAACAGGATGAGGGAGAGGAGCCCAGGCAATCTAGAAGTCTGTTGGTGGTGTGGGAATTCAATTATTATCAGAGGGGCAAGGACTCATGCAAAGGGTGCTACAAGAAATCAGTTTCCTGACTCTCAGCAATAGTCATCTGCTCTGGAAAAGGGGCTCAGTGACACAGGTCTGTGATGGAGATCTGACTGAAAACAGAAAGAGGCTATTGAGCCAACAGAGCACTTACACAGTCCTCTAGGGAGCCTGTTGAGGCTGGGCTCACTTTCTCCCTCTCTGCCCTTGCCAGTAGGTACAGTTGCATTTTCAGAATGGAATCCAACACAAAGTCTGTTCTCCAATTGTTTTAGCTAAAATAGTAATACAACAAATAAGTGTATACTGCCCTACCTAGAAAGAGACCTAAAGTAGAAAGGTACATCCTCCTTTTATTTGCAAGATTTAAATAGCACTTTATATATCTACCTAGTGACCACTTCAAAAATGTATGAACACTTTTAAACAAAATCCATGAGAAATTTACATGTTTCTGCATAAAAATGGTTCCATATGAATGGCTGTGTATTTATTTAACTACAAATACAACTACTACAAGGTAATCACATGTACTTTTCTCTGCATGAAGACCTCAATTAGTCTAAAATATATACTTTATGAATATTTTCTGTGTTATTTGGTGTTTTCATTTGTATGTTTGGTTGGGTTATTCTTGTAGTTAGAATGTGGAACTTTTAAAGAGTATAATTGCTTTAAGTTGTCTAACGCATTCCTCACAATGTCTGGTTATAATTTAGACTTGAAATCAGAAATGAATAAAACCAGAAAGCTACCTTTGATGAAAGACACCAGAGCGAGTGATAGTTCCCAAGAAGAAGCAATAGACCAGTGGGCCAGGAGACGGAAACAGTTCAAAGACAGCAAAAAATGCAGTTCAACTGGAGGAAGCTCCATAAACAGCACAATCACTGAGGGATCAAGTGAGTACTTTAGTCCTACAACTGTATTGTTTCTCCTTCATGTGATTGACACTCTGATAGGGTTTTCCACTACAGAAATTGATCTTCGGTTCATAACCCAAGTCTCTGTCTTAGCCATTATCATGAGCAAGCTTATTTTATTCAATTGAACTATTCTCACTATGGGAGTTAGTATTCTCTCTCCTTCATATGACAAAGCAAACAATCTAACTGGAAAAAAGTTGATTGTATCATCCTTGTCCATATGCAATTAATGTTAAGACAAGCTCTAGGCACAGATAAAGTGGTAATCTCTTACAGCAGCAGCTTTGAGGGTATAACAGAAATCGTAATCCTGATGCCTACTTTGCTTATGTCAAAGCCATGATGAGCTGGGATTCTTTCTCTCCTCCCTAACATAACCACCTGCTCCACCTTTTATCTTCAGGCTTATTGCCTAGATTGTGCTTCACTGTCCCTTCAGTTACTAAAACAGTTAGTGCCGTAACTGTCTCATTAAGAAATCTGTCACCTCGCCATGTGCTTGAGCCTGTATGAAACTCATCAGCTTAAATCCCATGGGAAGGAATTTTAAAGATGAACTTAATAAATTTACTTTTCATGCAGACGACTCCCCAAGCAAGGGTTGCACAGTCTAGGAGAGAACATATGTAGTACTTCTTACTTCACACTGCCTTTGCCTCCTGTTTTGCTATTTTAGTAATGTAAAAAGTACTATGTACAGATGAAGAAATATGCACTTCCCTGTGGAAATATTTTGTGCTGTAATTGTTACTGTTGGTAAAAAAGTTTTAGATGTAGATGTATAACCTCCTTTTTGAAGAAGGTTAAAAGCAAACCTATAGAAGACTGGCAGCTGTAAGACTTCAGTGCAAGTCCAATACAAGACAAACTGTAAATATATTCTGTCTCTGTACCGAAGAGGTAAGTCCTACATCAGCAGGGCCTCAATTCCCTACCTAAACATAGGTGTCAGTTGCCAGCTGACAACACCAATAGGGTCCTGAGATATGCGACCTACAGGGGATCCATGCCTTTTTGAAGCAGTTACTGGATGGCAAGTAAGATAATCTAAGGCATCTAAAATGTTACTAGCCACCTATATTGAGACCATAGAATCACAAAATTATTTGAGGTGGAAGGGCACTTAAAGATCATCTGGTTCCAAACACCCTGCCATCAGCAAGGACACCTTCCACTTGACCAAGTTTCTCAAAGCCCTGTCCAACCTGGCCTTGAACACTTCCACGAATGGGGCCTCAACAACTTCCCTGGGCAACCTGTTCTAGTGTATCACCACCCTCACAGTATTCTTCCTAATACCTAACGTAAATCT